CTCTCTTGGCTCCTATGAGCATCATAATTAGTGGTTAGCAGAAGGCATGTGATGCTTCCTCTCACCTGCTCTGAATCCATCTCCAGTGATGCCCGCACCTCCTCTGGTAGTCGTGGCCTCTGAGGGAGAAAATAGACAAGAATGTTCTGAGTGTTTGGGATGTTAGGAAGAGGTATTTTGTATTATATTATCACACCAAGCCGATAACCTGCTTAATTCCCATCGAGTCCATAGAGATGGTTTTCTAATATTTCAACTCCACCTGTGTTGGAAATAGCTGTTTTAAGATCTCTCTTAGCTCACTGCATGGCACACTGAGTGATGCATGTCCCATGGTCCCCACTCAACAAAGGCAGAATTCAGTGGATCAGATGGACCAGTGTGGAAACCAAACACCTCATTGCATAAGGACCAAAAGGGGGTTTTATATCAGTGAAGACAAAAATACCCATCCTCATGGAGCTTGTATCTGAATGTAAATGCTAAAGGGCTGCAGAAGGGGACAATTTTTAGAAAAGTGAAATGTTATACAGAACAACCTTCTTTTTTTTCTTATCTTTTAAAACTTAAATCTTAAAAGAGACACCAGGAAGCCATAAACGCTAAAAATTTTCATGAAAAGTGTAGGTGACAATGCTAATATACTGAGAAGTATGGTACCTTCTTTTTGAATGAGGAGGATATTTCTAGAGGTATCTTTACTTGATTTTGTATGTTTACACACAATCAATGTAAAATTTAACTATTATGTAAGAAACTCAATACACCTTTGTTATGATTTAAGAAGGCATAAGAACAGGAAAAGCAAAAGCTCTATGCTACCAAACTCTAATTTGAAGTTTATGTTTTATTAATCTGATAGATTGACTTCTGCTATCTTATTTTCTATTCTAGTTACTGTAACACAATTTCATATATATATATATATATGTGTGTGTGTGTGTGTGTGTGTGTGTGTATATAGTTATAGTTATAGTTATAGTTATAGTTATAGTTATAGTTATAGTTATAGTTATATTTTCTTACCTGTTACTTTAGCCTGTCCTGGTGGCACTAAAAATTAAAAACACAATATATATGTATATAAATGTACATTTTTATGTATCTCAATGCATAAAGATTAATTTATATTAAATTATAGTTTAGAAAGACTATCACAGCCCCTCAGTGACTTTTCAGTGCTCAAATGGAAAAGATAGAAATATTTCAAACTACATTGTGCAGAAGCAGTTTTTTGTCATTTTAATTTCAACTTACCTTCAATGAGTTCTGGTAGAATTTTGTTCTCTGGACCTAAAAAAGGAAAGATTGAATTCATGTTTCAATTTAAAAATATCCTTATTGAATTGCATTTTAAAAATTCACTTCAGTGCTTCAACAGCCGTTATATATAATTTTTAATTTAAAAAACAGGAATGTTATTTCCATAGGCGTTTACTTAAAAATTCAAGTCAGGATGAGGGATCTCTTGGGGGAAAAAACTGTAAAGTGTTCTTGTAAAAAATCATTCATAAGTTACAAATTATCAAACTGAAAACAGAACCACTGTCTTTTTCCCAAGTAAAATATTTACAAATGGTACCTCTTGTCTGGTTCCATTTCATTTAAAACTAAAGTCTTGAACTTGGGAAGTGCAAAAAGAAATAGTAATAAAAAGATAAAATACATACTGTGCCCTAATAGTTACATATCCTAGTAGCCATGGTACTAATTTATAATATACACTTGGTGCTCAATAAATAATATAAGGATGTGAATTCATTTGCATTTATATAACCATGGAATGAGTAAAGAATAATTATGAATTTAGTCTGAATCAAATTTTTGAATAAATTATTTCCTGGTAGCTAGTTTATAAAATAAATTTACACCAGTGGCGTTTTTAAAAGTATTTAGAATAGATGTTGCATAAATCTTTACCAGAAAAAAAATTATTAGCAATCTATTCCTTAAATAATAGACAATTTAGTCACTAAATCTTAGGTTCTATTAGATAACTTACAAAGTGAGACATGTCTTTCTCAAGTACTACAATACATTACTAGTCCAGAAACTTAAATAATAATGTACTCTAGCCTTGAATAAATAATTTAGTCCATGTATTGTTATGAAAAAATTGTCCTATAAGTATTTGTAAATTTTATGTCAGGTTGGAATAACTAAAAAAAGAAAGGAAGTGATGAACTTTTCATTTATAAAAGAATAGAATTATATTTTTGTCAAGTAAAATGACTCAAATCTTGCTGTTTTTGGAACAAATGCCACAATTTTTCTTGTATAAAAATTGTAAACCTTTTTTAATACCTGTTGCTGCAGTTATTATAGTTAGAAAGGGGGAAAATTTAAGTTCTGTACATATAAGAAGCAAGCTTTTCTTAGTGGGTCATTAAAGATCATTGTATATTTGTCTTAGAGGATGAAATGTGGTGGAGATCAGTCTCTGGAGTCAGGAAGCAATGGATAAAAACATGGGCTCCACTCTGATTGGCTGAGGAACCTGGACCAACCTAGGTAATGGCTTTTTTTTAAGTTCCTCATGAGTAAAATGACATAACTGTCCTTATTCAAATAGTTAAGCAAAATAATATATTTAAAGAGATTTTAATTATGTAACAGGTATTTTTATTAATTATTTTATCATTTAAAACTAGCCAAAGAACATGAAAACAAAAAGCATACATACAGCATTCCCTATTTACTTACCTACAGTGGAACTTTCTGATGGAATTGTTGAGATAGAGGTGCTTCTTATGGAACCTGAGACTAAAAATGGAAAATCACAAGCAGTGTTTTTATTTTAGGGGGATATAACCTGGACATTGTCACAGTAACTACTTTGAGCTCAAGTGTTGTACTTCCAGTACTGGTGAGAAAGCACCTATCCTATATAATAAAAGGGTAATATGCAAATAGACCAAACGGCAGAACAACCGAACCAATCAAAGTGTAATATGCTAATGATTGCTAAGGCTGCTCAACCGCTCACTATGATGTGCACTGACCACCAGGGGGCAGACAGTCGACCGGTTGCTATGACCTGCTCTGTCTACCAGGGGGCATATGCTCCGACCAGTAGGTTAGCTTGCTACTGGGACCCAGCCTATTGGGACTGAGAGAGATGGGCTGGACATGCCCTGCAGCCCTCCCGTGGTCCTTCCCCAGCCCAATCATGCACTGGTGGGGTCCTTCAGCCTGGTCTGCACCCTCTAGCAATCTGGGACCCCCCGGGTGATGTCGGAGAGCTGGTTTCAGCCTGATCCCGCAGGCCACTCCCTTTGGGAGGGCACCAGATGCAGGGCTCATGGTTGGCAAGCGCTGCTGCAGCAGTGCAACCCTCTTCTGATTGGGACCGATGGGGCACAAGCTTGCGGCAGGCACAGTGGGGCCAGGATGAGTGGGAGTGGCAGGTAGGAGACGCAGGCAGCGTTGGACTGCAGGTTTCAGGCGAATCCCTTAAGGCCATCCAGAGGAACCCCACTCATGCACAAATTCATACACCAGGCCTCTAGTTAAAATATAAGGCTCTAAATACTGGATAACTCAGCTCTGATTTTCTAATTTTTATGTTTACAATACACTGATATTCATGATCACATGTGTCAGAAAACCTTATGTTGAGCCACAACCCCAGCCAACAGCATCCCTTCCCACTCTTCTGACTTACCAGGTGTGGTTAATCTGGTTGTGCTTTCGCCTGCTTCAGTGGTTTCTCCATATGATTCTTCAGTTGTGCCTGGGTAAAGGGGCAATTGATGATTATCTTTCCATGATTCATTTTAGTAAAAATAATAAACTTACATTCATTTAACTAAATTTCAATTTTAAATGTTAATAGTGAAGCTAGAATATAATTTAATTTTATTGCCAAAATTCAGGCTTTAGTAATTAACTTAAGCTCATCATCACAATTTGGGTGTCAGGCATGTTTGTGCTGGATTACCCAGGTGAGCCTTGCCTGCTTGGTTCCCAGCAGAGGTGGCCCCAGAGGCTCCTGCTCCAGCTGTGCTTCCTCTGCTTGGCTGGGTGGTAGCTCTTCCTGACTCTCTGAATGCACCTGGTCAATAAAAAAGTAGTGGGGATGGAAATACCAAATTATTAAGAAGTGTGAAATATCAATTTAAAACAATAATGTTCTATAAATTTACTATATTATTCAAAAATTCAAGTTGTAAATAGTCTAATTCTGATAAATTTATAGATACAGTTCCAAATTATGGGACCAAAACTCCTATTACCCAAAATCTTGGGTCTATTTTTGACTAAATTGATTTACCTCCAGATGTGGTAATATCACTTCCTGGCATCATCGTTGTTCTTCCCACTTCAGTTGATGATCCAGTTGTCAATGTTTCTCCAGATAGCAGTCCAGTTGTCCCAGCTCTTCCTGCTCATGTCTCTGATCCAGTTGATGATCCAGAACTTCCTTGAGTAGATCTAGTGGTACCAGCTACAAATCCAGTAGTCCCTGATTCTTCAGCTGATGGTCTGGTTGTTGTAGTTTTATCAGATGATGATTCAGTTGTTACTGAACCTGTAGCAGATGATCCAGTTGCTCCAGATTCTGATTTTACAGTAGTCCCTGAACCTGCGGGTGTTACACCAGTGGATCCTGGCATTTCAGCTGCTGGACCAGTTGTTCCTTTCCCTTCTGCTGGGGTTCTGGTTGTCCCAGTTCCTTCAGATGGTGATTCAGTTGTTCCAGAACCCTTAACAGATGATCCAGTTGTCCCTGATTCCATAGGTGCCACAACAGTGGATCCTGACATTTCACCTGTTGGACTAGTGGTTCCTGTCCCTCCAGTGGATAATCCGGTTGTCCCTTTTCTTTCAGAGGAGGATTCAGTTGTGCCTGAACCTTTAGCTGATGATCCAGTTGTCCCAGATTCTGATCTTCCAGTGGTCCCTGATCGAGCAGGTGTTACACCAGTGGATCCTGACATGCCACCTGTTGCGACAGTTGTTCCTGTCCCTTCAGCTGATGGTCTGGTTGTTGGAGTTTTTTGAGATGATGATTCACTTATTCCTGAACCTGTAGCAGATGATCCAGTTGTTCCTGATTCTGATCTTACAGTTGTCCCTGAAACTCCGGGTGTTACACCAGTGGGTCCTGGCATTTCAGCTGTTGGACCAGTTGTTCCTTTCCCTTCTGCTGGGGTTCTAGTTGTCCCGGTTCCTTTAGATGGTGATTCTGTTGTCCCAGAACCCTGAGCATGTGATCCAGTTGTTGCTAATTCCCCAGGTGCCACACCAGTGGTTCCTGACATACCGCCTGTTGGGCCAGTTGTCCCTGCCCCTCCAGTGGATGACCTGGTTGTCCCTGATATTTCAGATAATGATTCACTTGTTCCTGAACCTCTGAAAGATGTTCCAGTTGTCCCTGATCCTTCAGGTGTTACACCAGTAGTTCCTGACATGTCATCCATTGAGACCGTTGTTCCTTTCTCTTCTGCTGGGGTTCTGGTTGTCCCAGTTCCTTTAGAAAGTGATTCAGTTGTTCTAGAACCTTTAACAGGTGACCCACTAGTTCCAGAGTCTGATGTTTCTGTTGTCCCTGATACTCCAGGTGTTACACCAGTACTTCCTGACATGTGATCCATTGCGACCGTTGTTCCTTTCCCTTCTCCTGGGGTTCTGGTTGTCCCAGTTCCTTTAGAAGGTGATTCAGTTGTTCTAGAACCTTTAACAGGTGACCCACTAGTTCCAGATTCTGATGTTTCTGTTGTCCCTGATACTCCAGGTGTTACACCAGTAGTTCCTGACATGTGATCCATTGAGACCGTTGTTCCTTTCCCTTCTGCTGGGGTTCTGGTTGTCCCAGTTCCTTCAGATGGTAATTCAGTTGTTCCAGAAACCTTAACAGATGATCCAGTTGTCCTTGATTCCATAGGTGCAACAACAGTGGTTCCAGACATTTCACCTGTTGGACTACTGGTTCCTGTCCCTCCAGCAGGTGATCCGGTTGTCCCTGTTCTTTCAGAGTGGGATTCAGTTGTGCCTGAATCTTTAGCAGATGATCCAGTTGTCCCAGATTCTGATCTTCCAGTGGTCCCTGATCGAGCAGATGTTACACCAGTGGATCCTGACATGCCACCTGTTGAGACAGTTGTTACTCTCCCTTCAGCTGATGATCTGGTTGTTGTGGTTTTTTCAGATGATGATTCACTTGTTCCTGAACCTGTAGCAGATGATCCAGTTGTTCCTGATTCTGATCTTACAGTTGTCCCTGAACCTCCGGGTGTTATACCAGTGGATCCTGGAATTTCAGCTGTTGGACCAGTTGTTCCTTTCCCTTCAGCTGGGGTTCTGGTTGTCCCAGTTCCTTTAGATGGTGATTCTGTTGTCCCAGAACCCTGAGCAGGTGATCCAGTTGTCCCTGATCGAGCAGATGTTACACCAGTGGTTCCTGACATTCCACCTGTTGAGACAGTTGTTACTCTCCCTTCAGCTGATGATCTGGTTGTTGTGGTTTTTTCAGATGATGATTCAGGTGTTTGAGACCCTTTAGCAGATGTTTCAGTTGTTTCAGATTCTGATGTACCTGTTGTCCCTGATTCTACAGGTGCTACAGGTGTGGTTCCTGACATTCCACTTGTTGGGCCAGTTGTCCCTGTCCCTTCAGCGGATGACCTGGTTGTCCCTGGTCTTTCAGATGATGATTCCCTTGTTCCTGAACCTCTGAAAGATGTCCCAGTTGTCCCTGATCCTTCAGGTGTTACAACAGTTGTTCCTGACATGTGACCCATTGAGACCGTTGTTACTTTCCCTTCTGGTGGGGTGCTGGTTGTCCCAGTTCCTTTAGATGGTGATTCTGTTGTCCCAGAACCATAAAAAGGTGTTCCAGTTGTTCCAGATTCTGATGTTCCTGTTGTCCCTGATCCCCCAGCTGTTACACCAGTCGTTCCTGACATGGGAACCATTGAGACTATTTCTCCTTTCCCTTCTGCTGGGGTTCTGTTTGTCCCAGTTCCTTTAGATGGTGATTCTGTTGTCCCAGAACCCTGAGCATGTGATCCAGTTGTTGCTAATTCCCCAGGGGCCACACCAGTGGTTCCTGACATGGGAACCATTGAGACTATGTCTCCTTTCCCTTCTGCTGGGGTTCTGGTTGTCCCAGTCCCTTTAGAAGGTGATTCAGTTGTTCCAGATTCTGATAGTCCTGCTGTCCCTGATGCTCCAGGTGTTACACCAGTGGATCCTGGCATTTCAGCTGTTGGACCAGTTGTTCCTTTCCCTTCGGCTGGGGTTCTGGTTGTCCCAGTCCCTTTAGAAGGTGATTCAGTTGTTCCAGATTCTGATAGTCCTGCTGTCCCTGATGCTCCAGGTGTTACACCAGTGGATCCTGGCATTTCAGCTGTTGGACCAGTTGTTCCTTTTTCTTCCGCTGGGGTTTGGGTAGTCCCAGTTCCTTTAGATGGTGATTCTGTTGTCCCAGAACCCTGAGCATGTGATCCAGTTGTTGCTAATTCCCCAGGTGCCACACCAGTGGTTCCTGATATTCCACCTGTTGGGCCCGTTGTCCCTGTCCCTTCAGTGGATGACCTGGTTGTCTCTGGTCCTTCAGATGATGATTCACTTGTTCCTGAACCTCTGAAAGATGTTCCAGTTGTCCCTGATCCTTCATGTGTTGCACCAGTAGTTCCTGACATGTGACCCATTGAGACCGTTGTTCCTTTCTCTTCTGCTGGGGTTCTGGTTGTCCCAGTTCCTTTAGAAGGTGATTCAGTTGTTCTAGAACCTTTAACAGGTGACCCACTAGTTCCAGATTCTGATGTTCCTGTTTTCCCTGATTCTCCAGGTGTTATACCATGGGATCCTGGCATTTCAGATGTTGGACCAGTTGTTCCTTTCCCTTCTCCTGGGGTTCTGGTTGTCCCAGTTCCTTTAGATGGTGATTCAGTTGTTCTAGAACCTTTAACAGGTGACCCACTAGTTCCAGATTCTGATGTTCCTGTTTTCCCTGATTCTCCAGGTGTTATACCATGGGATCCTGGCATTTCAGATGTTGGACCAGTTGTTCCTTTCCCTTCTTCTGGGGTTCTGGTTGTCCCAGTTCCTTTAGAAGGTGATTCAGTTGTTCTAGAACCTTTAACAGGTGACCCACTAGTTCCAGATTCTGATGTTCCTGTTTTCCCTGATTCTCCAGGTGTTATACCATGGGATCCTGGCATTTCAGATGTTGGACCAGTTGTTCCTTTCCCTTCTTCTGGGGTTCTGGTTGTCCCAGTTCCTTTAGAAGGTGATTCAGTTGTTCTAGAACCTTTAACAGGTGACCCACTAGTTCCAGATTCTGATGTTCCTGTTTTCCCTGATTCTCCAGGTGTTATACCATGGGATCCTGGCATTTCAGATGTTGGACCAGTTGTTCCTTTCCCTTCTTCTGGGGTTCTGGTTGTCCCAGTTCCTTTAGAAGGTGATTCAGTTGTTCTAGAACCTTTAACAGGTGACCCACTAGTTCCAGATTCTGATGTTCCTGTTTTCCCTGATTCTCCAGGTGTTATACCATGGGATCCTGGCATTTCAGATGTTGGACCAGTTGTTCCTTTCCCTTCTTCTGGGGTTCTGGTTGTCCCAGTTCCTTTAGAAGGTGATTCAGTTGTTCTAGAACCTTTAACAGGTGACCCACTAGTTCCAGATTCTGATGTTCCTGTTTTCCCTGATTCTCCAGGTGTTATACCATGGGATCCTGGCATTTCAGATGTTGGACCAGTTGTTCCTTTCCCTTCTTCTGGGGTTCTGGTTGTCCCAGTTCCTTTAGAAGGTGATTCAGTTGTTCTAGAACCTTTAACAGGTGACCCACTAGTTCCAGATTCTGATGTTCCTGTTTTCCCTGATTCTCCAGGTGTTATACCATGGGATCCTGGCATTTCAGATGTTGGACCAGTTGTTCCTTTCCCTTCTTCTGGGGTTCTGGTTGTCCCAGTTCCTTTAGATGGTGATTCTGTTGTCCCAGAACCCTGAACATGTGATCCAGTTGTTGCTAATTCCCCAGGTGCCACACCAGTGGTTCCTGACCTTCCACCTGTTGGGCCAGTTGTCCCTGTCCCTCCAGCGGATGACCTGGTTGTCTCTGGTCCTTCAGATGATGATATACTTGTTCCTGAACCACGGAAAGATGTTCCTGTTGTCCCTGATCCTTCATGTGTTGCACCAGTAGTTCCTGACATGTGACCCATTGCGACCGTTGTTCCTTTCCCTTCTGCTGGAGTGCTGGTTGTCCCAGTTCCTTTAGATGGTGATTCTGTTGTCCCAGAACCATGAGCAGATGATCCAGTTGTTGTTGATTCCCCAGGTGCTACACCAGTGGTTCCTGACATTCCACCTGTTGGTCCAGTTGTCCCTGTTCCTCCAGCGGATGACGTGGTTGTCCCTGGTCCTTCAGATGATGATTTACTTGTTCCTGAACCACGGAAAGATGTTCCTGTTGTCCCTGATCCTTCATGTGTTGCACCAGTAGTTCCTGACATGTGACCCATTGAGACTGTTGTTCCTTTCCCTTCTGGTGGGGTGCTGGTTGTCCCAGTTCCTTTAGAAGCTGATTCAGTTGTTCTAGAACCTTTAACAGGTGACCCACTTGTTCCAGATTCTGATGTTCCTGTTTTCCCTGATCCTCCAGGTGTTACACCAGTGGATCCTGGCATTTCAGATGTTGGACCAGTTGTTCCTTTCCCTTCTCCTGGGGTTCTGGTTGTCCCAGTTCCTTTGGATGGTGATTCAGTTGTTCTAGAACCTTTAACAGGTGACCCACTTGTTCCAGATTCTGATGTTCCTGTTTTCCCTGATCCTCCAGGTGTTACACCAGTGGATCCTGGCATTTCAGATGTTGGACCAGTTGTTCCTTTCCCTTCTCCTGGGGTTCTGGTTGTCCCAGTTCCTTTGGATGGTGATTCAGTTGTTCTAGAACCTTTAACAGGTGACCCACTTGTTCCAGATTCTGATGTTCCTGTTTTCCCTGATCCTCCAGGTGTTACACCAGTGGATCCTGGCATTTCAGATGTTGGACCAGTTGTTCCTTTCCCTTCTCCTGGGGTTCTGGTTGTCCCAGTTCCTTTGGATGGTGATTCAGTTGTTCTAGAACCTTTAGAAGATGATTCAGTTGTTCCAGATGCTGATCTTCCAGTTGTTCCTAATCCCTCAGGTGTTACACCAGTGATTCCTGACATTCCACTAGTTGTCTCTGACTCTACAGCTGATTGTCTTGTTGTCCCTACTCTTTCAGATATTAATTGAGTTGTTTCTGAACCTGTAGCAGACGTTACAGTTGTTCCTGTTGCTCCAGTTGATAATTCTGTCGTCCCTGATCCTCCAGCTTCTGATCTAGTTGTTTGTAATCCTCCAGTTGGTGTTTTGGGGGATGAACCAGTTGTCCCTAGTATTCCAGTTGCTGCCTCTGTTGTCTTTAATCCTTCAGATGAAGGTCCTGTTGACTGTGAACCTACATCATATGATCTCGTTGTTTCTGTTTTTCTAGTGTTGCCTGATTCTCCAGCTGATGTGATGGTTGTCCCTGTCCCTTCAGATGATGGTACTACTGTGGTTCCCGATCCTTCAGCGGATTGTCCAGTTGTTCCTATGAAAACATTTAACAAAAAAAACATTGTTTTAAAGTTGTTCTGGTCCTTGATTAACCTTAGCGCTTATGCTGCCTTCTTTCTAAACTATAGTTTTGTGCACCTTCATTCCTGTTGCCACCATCCTATTTTATTATACCTTTTATTTTTCTACAGTGTACCTTCTTCCTAACTCTTTACTCATTTAACATTATTGAATATTTTATATGCCATGTATGTTCTCAAAAATTTATAAGTATTACCTCATTTTAGCATCAGAACAATCCTATGATATGTATAGTATTACTTTCCATTTTTATAGAGAAAAAACTTAAAATAGTTTAAGTCATTTCTCTAAGATTTACCTAGTAAGTAGATAGTTCTCTAATCCCATAGATA